AATGCTTTTGGTGAAGAAAAAAAATACTGACAGCATTTGTTATGTCTGATTCTTATCTTCCTCTCCACTTGTGTCTGCTGCCCAGTGGTGTCTGGAGTTATTGGCTATGGGACAAGCCAAATACATACATAACATACAGATTTCAGCCAGCTGGAATGTTCCATCACATTTGAGAAAGGGAAAGTATATTACAAGAGATTGTTCCTTTTTCTGGTTCTTAGATTTTTGGAGTGAAATCATTCATGTTGTTGTTATTAAGTACCATCGAGTCAGTTCCGAGTCATAGCGAACCTGTATAGGGTTTCTGAGGAGCAGCTGGTGAATTTGAACCTTGTGTTTCAAACCAACCTTAAGGTCCAGTGTATTAACTCACAGCGCCGTACCAGGACTCCAAATAATTCATAGTGTCCTTAAAATAGAGTTTCCGGGCCTTAGAAATAGCTTTAATGACATTGGTTTTTGCTGATCTTAGTAGAAATAAGCATTCCTATGACTTCTGGTGTGGCGCTGTGGGTTAATGCACTGGACTGCAAACTCAGTTTGAACCACAAGGTCAGCAGTTCAAGCTCACCAGTTGCTCCTTGGTAACATAGTTGCTATGGGTCGGAACCAACTCAACGGTACTTAATAACAACAACAACATGACTTCTGCATTCTCTGTCAGGAAGCCTCCCATGGCCCCATCTGCATTAGATGTGTTTGTCTCTAGATATACAAGAATTGTCCTGTAAAAAAAAACACTGTGAATAAGCAGTATCCATTGTGGCCTAGAAAAGTCTGATCTCCAATATGACAAACACACATTTCTATAGTTTGGTTTGATGGTGCTGATATAAATGGCCCATGTTTTTAAAATTGTAACATCATAAAAGACAACTTGGAGTCTAGAATGTATTTGGTGTCAAAATATAGAAAAAAAGACATGTTCAAGTTGATCACGAGAATTACTCAAAAATACTCAAAATTTAGAATCTAGATATCAGTGTGTAATTTAAAAATATGGGAGGCAAATCACTGACTACCTGGAGTATAAGATTTTTCCAAAATGAAGATTGTTGAATTTCTTGGTGTGCTTAGTTGCCTTAGGTTCATTTGAAGGTACATAGGCATAAAAAATTATTTCGTTAAAAGAGATAAATTGTGGGGCTAGTACAGCCTCAAAGCCCATATCAGGAACCTGGAGTATGAAAAAAGGAAATATTACATGTAAGTTTTCTTATAGTCAATCATGACAAAATGCAAACAGATTTGTTTCCAGTTCAAATCAAAATAATACAATTAAGTGTTGCAGACCGTGTAAGACTAGTCAGAGGTTCGAGGCCCTCTAGGGCCGAGTGTAACAAATGAGGCCACTGGCAGTTAATGGCAAATTGCTTTCAT